TTGGACAGCTGCTCATTGAGCTTCCTCCGGGTATCCTCGGGCATTGAGCCAACCCTGAGGGTCAGGAAAGATCTACCCACGTGTCCGTCCATATAGCTCAATGTGCAGACTGTCCTTGGAGCACGCCACTCCTCAACGCAAGCTGAAGCGGCTACACCGCCTGTAACCTTTGGATCCTTCAAAAGAGGTGGCTTTGGTTCTGAAGGGTCCGGCTCGGTAAAAGCGAGGTCCAAAGTCCGCTCCAAGGAATGTCTGATCTTGCGCATGCACATAGACTTGCAAAGAGGGTCTTTGACCTGACCACGCGCAGAGGCCTCCTTGATGAGAACCTTCTTTTTAGGTCGATACCTTGTGCTCCACACCTGGTCGAAGTTAGCGCAAAGCCTTGCGTTCACCTTCTTCTCCTCAATCATGGCGCGGATGTAGGTGCGAACAGCTTCAAGACTTGGGTGATCAAATGGCAGATGGGCTCCTGGCTTCTCATTGCTGCGCATAACCAGGCCAAACTTGTTGCAGAGCCGCTGCGCCTGCTTCCTTAGCGATGGTTCTTGCACTTGCACATGTAATCATGTATGTAGGGGGGTACCAGCATACTTAACAATGGAGCCTTTGCACTGCATTGCACTTAGAACCTATATACCTTGATGCTTCATATGGATCATACCTCCTGATTTCAAGGACTAGTTGCAATAGTGCTCCGTCGGTCTCCACCATGTTCACAGGTTGCAGAACCTCTTGAGCCCGCTCATGGAGGTTGTCAAAAAGGTTGTCAATCTCATCAGAATTCATCGTGGAGATTTGGTGATCGTGTTGCTGCACAATCTCCACACTCCTTTCCTCCATCAGCTTTCTCATAGTCAAGACATTTTCATTCCACAGGTCAATGCAGAAAAGAATTGTCCCCTTGACATATTGAAGCGTGACCTCTTCTCCAACTTCAATCCTATCCATGACAAGTCCTTCAATCACCTCTTTCAACTCAAAGGGAAGGCAGCGCTGTTTGTCGGACTTTGTGTGAGCATCACCGTGTTTGAGCTTGGTAAAGCTCAGCACCCTCCTGATTGAGTTTGGAAGTTCCTTGAAACGCTTGCATATTTGAGGAGCTGACTTCACCAGGACTGGCCATTTCTGTTCCTCTCGAATGAGACCCCACTTGGAAGGGGCAGTGCAGCTTTTGAAGTACCCTGGCATCGATTCCAATGTTTTGTAAGGGTTCTTCGCGCCAGACTTCTTTGCCTTCTCAAGAGCTTCAAAAATAGCCTCTTTCTCTGCAATGGTGACCATCTTGGATTTTCCCTTGGCTCGTTTGTTTCCAGCTCCTTTCCCATTCCGTCTCTTCTTTGGCAACCCAACTCTGCAGAGCAAGTCCTGAGGCTTGGTTTTACCACGGACACGTCGTGGTGGAATCCATGGTGCCTCATCTTCTTGTTGTGGCACCAGAGATTCTGACAATGTTCTCTTCTGGCCACGCTTGTCAGAGTGGTTGAGGGAGTGCTCAGTGCAGACTGGCGGCTTGGGCAATGAGGGAGCCTGATCAATCTCCATCTCGTCAGGCTGCAGACGGTCCCAGCTCGTGGATGAAGCCAGCGCAGACAAAACCACTGCCTGCGCCACTGTGCCCGTCATTCCGTTACCAGCCAAATCTTGTGCCAGGGAAGTGTGCGTGTCTACGGACTTTTCTTCCAGCAGTCGATCAAAGTTTGCTGGATCAGTTGCATCTCTTCTGAAGATGGCTTGAGCAGCCAAGAGCTCCTCCGGCAAAATGTAGCGGCCCAAGAATGTCGAGTATATACTATGGCCTGGTGTGATGCAGGTTGCAACATCCACAGCGCACTCAGCTGCCCTTGCAAGCGAAGTACTGCAATTGAGGAACAGGTTCGAGTGATCTTGGCCAGCCTCAGCCAAACAAGAGCTGAACCCCCCTACACTCATCACCTCTTTGCATTGGAAGCGTAGTTGCCCACTTCTCCAATGTGTATTTATATATACTGTATGTATATATATGTATGTATATATAGGTTTTAGGAGCCTTACATACCGTATGAATACCTGAACATTTCTCTCTCTCGCTCTCTATATGTATATATACAATATAAATTCAACCAAGCAGCTGCTTTTTTCTCTGCCACTGCCCTTTCTAGAAGAGTCATCTCTCGATCAGAGCGCAACTCAACACGCTGCTCTTCCAGAAAAACCTTTTCCATGGGGAAGCGGCAGTGAGATTGTAACGCTAGAAGTGTTCCTTTGAAGGCCTTGGCAAACTCTCCCTCCCCAAAATCACAAACTGCTGCACCCCATACTCGGTTCCTCCGTTGCCGAACCAAAAAGTTCTGGCTGTCCAGAAGCTCCCAAGCCTGGGCAGGCCAAGGATGACTTAAATGTACATGCTTTCACCCGGGCAAGTATTATCCACGTGTGTATGAACAGTATATATATATACAGGCTTGACACGTGTACTCACTGCCGAGGAACAAACTGGTAGCCACTTGCATTGGCATGCTCCTCAATTGCCTGACAAAATTCACAGAGAAAAGACCAGAGTCCTTGCTACATACTCCTGGAAAGAAAAGACACTTAGAACCAGAAGAATAGAAACATATACGAACATATACAGTGCCCAGACACCTGAATTGCCGGTCTGTGCACCTGTCCATCATCGCCTGTAGTTTTCTTTGTAACGGAGGCCACGTTCTCATATACTTGCACGAACGGGCATAGACGTTCCATAACCTGGGCCAGTTTGTTTTGCATTGTGCATGTATGCAAGTCTATGGATACAGCATTGTTGTTAACTCCATCCCAAACAGGTTCCCTGTCATAGCTGTCACTTAGAACCTTCCTGAACAACTATGAGCATGTAGACATAATACATATGTATTATATATACACATACAAATGTTGGCAGGAGTGAGATTGAACCAGGGAGCGGCTTTCCATCCATGAGTGTAGGTGAAGCATGATGTCCCATCATCCTCTGCCAAGTTCTCGTAGCACCCTGCAAAGGAAGATCTTGTAGTCTTCAACATGCCTCGTACGGAGCTGCAGTTGAAAGGAGGTGCATGTTGAAAGGAGGTGCATGGCACATCTACTTTTGAAATTGACTGATCACCAAATAAAATATTGAACATTCAAAACCGTTTCTGAGCAGCCTAGTGTCTCATGTCCTTACAGCTAGGGCCACACACGTAGATGTCCAGTCCAACTGTTGCTGGTGAGACATCATGAACTTTGCAGCACCTGAAGCAATGAGCAGATCCTTTGGAAAAGCAAGACACGTCTTCAAACACGTGGTCCGGTCGGTGCTCATCCAGTATGTAATCGCGCTTCTGGTGCTGCAACTCAACTGAAAGAACATGTCGGCAGCCGATGTTCACCTGCCAAAAATTCAAGAACGACTGCCTACCAACTGCTGATAGTTTCCAGAACCACCCCCAAACATACATAGAGCATCTCACTATCTACACTTAGAACCT